TTCAACTAAGGATGCACAGAAGAAGCCACCTCCAGACTGGTAGGAGGGACAGAGACGCGGAACAGGCTGGCCCCACACTCACGTGTGATCATTAAAGATCGAGAGGGCTATTTCAGCTGTGGGGGTCCTGCCCATCCCCCAGAGGAGCGAGAGGTCCCAGCCCCACCCCAGCACAGGGTTTCAGTGCTGGTGAGAGAAGTCCCCATAACTTCTGGTTGTGGAAACCAGTGGAGATTGTGACTGGGTGAGACTGAGGGTGGCTGCACTCCCAGGCGCTTCTCTTAAAGAGACTGCACATGTACTTACCCACCAAAGGAATCACTTGCTCTGAGCTCCTGTGCTGGGGCAGAGGAACTCATTTGTCTGGCTTGGGACAGGGGCTGAAGAGGTGGCTTTCTCCTGGATGGAGGAGGTGGTGAAGGCCATTGTTTCTTTGCTGAGCCCTCCCCCTTCCCAGCGTGCGGACGCAGACAGATGCCATATCTGATCTTGCTTGCCACCCTCTGGTGATTTGAGACCCCACCCCACCCAACTTTTGGGCACACCCAAGCCACTTCCAGTGGCTTTTTCATGCAGACCCGCCTGCCTTGGCTCAAACTGCACTTTCCTAAGGTTTCTCAAAGGTTCATGGAACCCAGACGAGCAGCATCTAGCTTGAGTGTGTCCTATACCTTTGGCTGAGCAGCCCTAAGCTGGCAGTAGCGGCACACATTCTTGGTGTGCAGCTTGGCCTCTCAAGGCACTTTCAAGCACAGCATGGGTGGTAGCCATCTGCAGATTTCTTTCTGGCTCCTGCTGGGTGGCCCTGGGTGGGGCACGGGCTGTGGCTGAATTTGACCTACAGCGTATCCCCTCCAAGGTGATCCTGGGACTGGCACCCCCAGTGGCCAGCTTCAAAACAAGGTGGAGCATTACCCAGCTGCCTCCAAGTACAACACACCCAAGGGGTTGATTGGGCAAGCACCAGATTACTGCTGAAGCAGATCCTGCTCCATAGGATCAGCCCCTTGCACTGTAGTCAAGACCAGCCCAAGGGTCAGTCCCTCCCACTGATGTGCAATTATCAACCAAGGCTCAATTACAAGAGGAGGGCACACACAACCCACACAAGGGACACACCTGCAGTGTATGGCTCAGGTGACCAGAAGGACTGCATCACTGAATCCCACAGCACACCTACTACATAAGGCCACTCTACTAAGACTGGAAGACCTAGCAGCCCTACCTAATACATAGAAACAAACATAGGGAGGCAGCCAAAATGGGGAGGCAAAGAAACATGTCCCAAATAAAAGAACAGAACAAAGCTCCAGAAAAAGAACTAAGCAAAATGGAGATAAGCAAGCTATCAGGTGCAGACTTTTAAACACTGGTTATGAGAATGCTCAATGATCTCAGGAAGAACTTTAACAGAGAGATAGGAAGCATAAAATTAGAGATGGAAACCACAAAAAAGAACTACTCGGGGGGCTGGCCAATTGGTTCAGTTGGCTAAGAGTTAGCTTAAGAGTGTGAGCTCTGAGCAACAGGGCTGCCGGTTCAATTCCCACATGGTCCAGTGACGCTGCACCTGAGCTGAGCTGCTGCTGAGCTGCCAACAGGTGGCAGGATGGCTCAGCTGGTGAGAGCATGTGCTCCTAACAACAAGACTGCCTCTTAGGCTTCCGCATGGGATGGTGGCTACGCCCACCCACAACTAAAACTGAACTCAGCACCTTAAGCTGAACTGCCACCCAGATGGCTCAGTGGATAGAGCATGCACTCTTAACAACAAGGCTGCTGGTTTGACTCCCGCATGGGATGGTGGCTACACACAGCCGCAACTTAGATTGTAGCACAGCACCTTGAGTTTAGAGGCCACCATCTGCCGATGGGCAGCCAGATGGTGACTGGCACCCTCCACAACTAAGATTGAAGAATAACAACTTGGCCAATTCCCCAACACTGTTCCCCTCCCCCCAATTCCTCAATTAAAAAAAAAGAAAAAAAAAAACAAGAACCAGTCAGAAATAAAAGATACAATAATGGAAATGAAGAATATATTACAGGAAATCAACAATAGATTAGATGAAGCAGAGAATCCAAATAGCGATGTAAAAGATAAGGTAGCAGAAAACACCCAACCAGAACAGAAAAAAGAATCCAAAAATTTGAGGAGAGTTTAAAGGGCCTCCAGGACAATATCAAATGTACCAACATTTGCATTATAGGGGTACCATAAGGAGAATAAAGAGAGCAAGGAATCGAAAACCTATTTGAAGAAATAATGACAGAAAACTTCTCTAACCTGGTGAAGGAAATAGACATACAAGCCCAAGAAGTGCAGAAAGTCCCAAACAAGATGAACCCAAAGAGGCCAACACTGAGACACATCATAATTAAAATGCCAAAGGTCAACGACAAAGAGAATCTTAAAAGCAGCAAGAGAACACCAGTTAGTTACCTACAAGGGAACCCCCATAAGACTGGCAGCTGATTTCTCAACAGAAACTTTGCAGTCCAGAAGGGATTGGCAAGAAATATTCCAAATGATGAAAAGCAACGACCTACAACCAAGATTACTCTACCCAGCAAAGCTATCATTTAGAATTGAAGGGCAGATAAGGAGCTTCCAAGACAAGAAAAAGCTGAAGGAGTTCGTCACCACTAAACTAGTATTCCAAGGAATCTTAGAGGGACTTCTTTAAGATGGGAGGGGGGTTAAGGATGGGTGAAGGGGGAAGAGATTCAAAAGTACAAATTGGTTGTTACACAGTAGTCATGGGGACGTAGGGTATAGTATAAGAAATATAGTCAATAATATTGTAATAAGTAGGTATGGTGCCAGATAAGTGCTAGACCTACCAGGGTGATAGATGGGAATGGGATTGGGGGTAGGGTGAAAAAGGTGAAGGTACTAAGAAATACAAATTGGTAGTTAATACAGTATGGGAATATAATCAACAATGTTGTAAAGATCATGTAAGGTGCCTGATGGGCACTGGACTTATCAGGGGGATCACTTCATACACTGTGTCCAATGCACTATACACCTGAAGCTGAAGTAGAGTAATATTGTCAACTATAACTAAATATATATGTTTATAAATATAAATATATAACTAAATATATATATAGTCATGGGATGTGGAGTACAACACAGTGAAGATAGTCAATGGTATTGTAACAGCTATATAAGATATCAGAGTGGTAGTAAATTAAGGGGGAGGGTTATCACTTTATGAGGGGTTTAAATGTCTAACTATCACGTTGCTTTGTACACCTGAAACTAAAAAAAAATAAAGTGTGGAGGCTTTGCTAGAAATAAATTATAGAGATTTATTCAAGGGTCTTAGAGTTTGCAAACTGGAAATACCACTAGGCAAAAACCCAGAAGTGTTCCAAAGAAGAGAGAAATGTTAAAAAGAATTATCAGTCCTGCATTGTTAGCCCTAGGATTGGTCCAGGATGATTATCAGTCAGATGGCAGTCAGTCAGGATGATGGATGCCAGATGGTCCAGAAAATGGGCACCAGGAAATATGGCCACATCCAGTGGTCTGGATAATAGATATCAGGTGGATGTATATGTGAACCCGTTTAGGGTTAATTTGAATTCTATCTGGAGGTCCAGGTGCATATCCAATCATTGACACAAGACTGGAAAGTTTTAAAAAATGTAAGTTCCCAGGCTAGTTAGCACATGAATGGGGTCTTTCCTCAGGCCTTAACCTTCATAATGTTAACCGTTGTAGCAGTTTCTGACCCCATTTTATATGTTCCCTATCTTCACTCTTTTCTCAATATTTATAAAAATTATATATAACTTGGAAATATGCTTATAATGTATTGTAAGTATGTATTCACAAACCATATATAATTTGTATCTTTTTTCTCTTGTATTAGGTAAAAGGCAACATATTAAATTATACACAGATTGTGAATCTGTATAGTCATATGTAATAAAAACAAACATGAAATAAAGAACTAAGATTATTGAGTTCCATTCTGTCAGGCAATTCTAAATACATATATATTAACCTTTTATTTTTCCTATCAACCTATAAGGCAGGTACTATTATGTATAATACCCATTTTATAGATAAGAAAAACCTGAGGCTCAGAGAAGTTATATAATTGGGCCAAGGTCACTGAAAGGACTGGTATTCAAGCCTGGGCAGTTCTGGCTACTGCCTGAAAAAATATTGACAACAGCTGCCTCTGGGTGGTCGAAAAAAGGGGAATTATATTCCTTCTATTTTCTGCATTTTTACAAGTTTTTTGTAAAGATGAGAAAACGGCACTGTAAAAGGCTGAATTAATGAATTATTCTGTGTTCCTGTAATAGATCTGAGCAGAAAAAAACTTTTTAATTGTCCACAGGACTCCATTATTGCAGCCCGGGAAGTCAACCCCTTGTTCTGTCAGCCAATTCTATTCCATACAAAAGAGAAAATTAGGATAAGCTCCATTTAGGGATTAATAGGTTGAAAATAGGTTGCTTTTATGAATGCTGAGAAATTGGCAAAGGCTAGTGTTGGGTTCTAGGGTTCAATGTCACACTCAAACACCAGTCCTATAGATAATTGCTGCACTCAGGTGAGAAAGGGATGGGGGCGAGGAGCAATGAAGGGGCAGTCATGTCCCAGGTACTGGGTACGTGGTGTCCGCTGCTGGAGCTGTAAGGTTCGTTTGTTTAATATGTGCTTGCTATATTAGCTTAGTTGGAAGAAGGGGGTCAAGATGCTAATAATGCCAGTAATGAATGTGAAATGGAACAAATGCCACTGTATTTGCCTAAATGGAAATCTTGAGACTAGGGACAATAAATCCATTCTACAGTAAAGACCACTTAGTCAATTACTCAAGAATTTCATTTTCAGGTACGCAGCCCACGAGCCCCACCCTAGCCCTTTAGTTTATCACCCGCTTCTAAGGACTACAACTCCCAGCGTAAGGGAGGTCTGTGCGCATGCGGTGTGATGACCTACGCCTACATTTCCCAGCGGGCTGAACGACTACGCTGACGCACGCGTGCGCCCTTGCGTCTTTCTTCCAACTCGGGTTTGACCTACAGCCGCCCGGGAGAAGATGGCAGCCCCAGCCGTGTCCGGCCTCTCCCGGCAGGTGAGAGAATGGAGGTCCTGAAAGCCATCGGGAGGATCTCTCCTGGGGTGATCCATACCAGACCCCTAGAGCAACAGTGCGAGGCTACAGCTGGGGGAGCGTGGCCGCCGTTCAGGGTCATGGGGCCCAGCTAGTGGGGGCGACGCCAGGAGGCTCGGGCGGCCCTGCCTGCCCACTCCCGGACGTCCACGGGCCAGTGGGCACGGGGCTGCGCGTGCCTGCCCTTGGTGTCCTCTGAGCACAGCTCCGAGAACCTGCAGGCTTGAGGGTCACAGGCGATAGCGGCCCCGGCTTCCCTGGACCGGCCCACACCGGATCGTCCTCCTTTGTCGTTGTCATCAAACCTGTCAGGGGTCACTAGGAATGCTAAAGAATATTTGTAAAGCACGTCTCACATTTTTATAAGAGAAATGAGGCAACAAAGTTTAAATGAGTCGTCCTTGGCTGCTCAGCCAGTAAGGGGTAGAACTGAGTTTCGAACGCACAGAGTCACACAGAAGATGGAGTTGGAAAGGAAATTTGTGCTCTTTATACTGCATATTAATACGATGCTTTACATATCATGACCTCTAACAGATTACGTAGCGTTTCCACGGTGTTAAAAAGTCTTAATCCTCACAACCAGTTTTGCTATAGTACACTGCAGAGCTGGGGTTATTTGAAGGTGACCTGTGCCTTTGCAGGTGCTTTTTAAACTACGGATTCCAACTCTTGTTCCTAGATAGACAAGATACTGTCTCTCAGAACTGGGGCCTGTTCTCACTTTAAACAATGCTGCAGCGCTCAAGGGTTAATCTTTATTTGCAGATAGCATTTGGATACTAACAAGATATAGCTCCTGGAAATCATGACTGGAATCCTCCCACTTTTTATTAAAATCCAGCTTAAGGGTCGTGATATAAATGCCAAAAATCTTGTTAAAAATTTTTAAATAGGCATTTCATCAAAATGAGCATTTTCTCTCATACTGGTGAGCTAGCTTCAACCTGTTCATAGCATACTAGGAAGTTAGTGGGAAGTCGATTTCCCAGGCAACTTGGGGTGATAATCAGCGGGGAAATGTACTCCCAAGTAATACAGGACGGCTTTCCCTCATATAATCTATGTGATGATACAAGGAAACATAAGAAACTAACCATTTACAATAAAAGTGAAATTGAAAATTTCTTGTTACTGGTTTAAGTGAAGAAATCCTTCAAGTAATCTTGATCTACTTTCCTTTATTTTTTAAAGGTGCGATGCTTCAGTACATCAGTGGTCAGGCCATTTGCCAAGCTCGTGAGGGTAGGTCAACGTATTCTTTTGTAATTGGAAAGCAGATGAAAGTGTGTGAGTCCAACAGCAGTACAGCTAGGGCATGGACTTTTGTGTAGTTACCTAAACTTTTTCTGCACAATTTGTGTGTGGTTCCCAGAATGTGATGCGGTGGGGTGTAGGGAATAAAATAATGTTGAATGCCTGCTGTGCGACAGGCCCATACATAACCTTTAAATATGAGAATTTCTTAAAACCCCATAATGGTGATGGGAAGTAGCTAGTTTCCCCAGTTTACAAAAGAAGCTGAGACTGGGGAAAATTTGCCCGATGCTGCTCAGCTTAGAGCTGGGCTAGAACTAAGTCTTTCTCAGTCAAAGCCTAAGCATTCCACTACAGCCATACAGCGCCACTCAGCATATGCAGTCATGCATTGGTGGTAGTGTGTAGAAAAAGGCCTGTAGTTGATTGTGAAAAATAATTCAAGCATCAGGCACTTGGTAAATTGCTAAAGGGCTCCTCTAAACTGGATATTGATGAGGAGGCTCTAAGGGAAATTTGGAGTATTACTATGAAATGTATAAAAGTATGCTTGTATATTGTTTCATGAATGCCTATTTTCCTGGCTCTAACATGTTTAAAAACCTCCCAGACTTGGAACTGAATAGTATTGCATTCAAAGGAAGCATAAGCTTATCTCAAAATTAATGTCATTGAATTATAGGTAGTTAGAGCTGAAAGGGACATTAGACATCAGTTTCCTAAGGCCCTTGATGAGGAATTGGAAGCTCAAAGATTGAGTGACCTGGCCAAGGAAATAGTTCTTAATTTGTTTGAGAATTGCTGTTCAAGGTAGCTCTTTGATGACATATTTAAACTATTTCTGTGTTATAAAAGATGTATGTTTTTAAATTGTAAATATTTATTTCTCCTTTTGACAGTATACTATGATCTTAACTGATATTCCTTTTCCCTTCCTCCCCTACCCCACCCTTTTCTTTAAAGCCACCTGTTCAGATATATGGTGTTGAAGGTCGCTATGCCACTGCTCTGTATTCTGCTGCATCTAAACAGAATAAACTGGAACAAGTAGAAAAGGAATTGTTGAGAGTAGCAGTAAGTAACTTTCCTTATTAAGTTCCTTTTTTATATTATTTTCTTTTAGTTATTTTGATCATGCATCCCTAATGAGATATGTCCTCAGAGAAAAAGAACATCAGAAGAAAAAAAATTTATTTTCTATAATCATGTTGATAGTAATCATACTGGGTATTCTGAATCTATTGAATAATAGGTACAAACAGATAACATATAAGAATATTAATATTAGGAACCAAGATTTCAGGCTAAGAGAAGAAATAGAAATATGAAATGGTAATTTAAGAAAAATTGCCTTTTCAAAAGAGAGTTAAAAAGTCACCATTGAAAATCTATGCTTGTATTCCAGGTAGTTCCAAAATAGTCTTTAGAATTTAGAATGATTTTGTCTTACTGGGAATTGATTTTCCTTAGGAAGCCTGTCCTTGGTTTTCATTACTTTATTCCCCAGATGTGAGGGCGAATGCCTGAGCAGTGATGGGCAGCAGAATTAGTAAAGATGTACTTGTATGCGTTCCACACTGAGGACAGACTCACGAAGACAGATGGGGAGGCTGCAAGCGAGCGTTCCGGGTTTTTTTAACGTGAAAAAGAGTAAATGAACTGATTTAACAAAAGCCCATACTATAACTTAAATAGGAGAATCTCTGCTGTGATGTCCACTGAATTTCCGGTTCACAAGTTTCTGCACATTTTCTGGCCTCCCCGCCCCCCCCACCTGCTGGCTGCCGCCTCTGGCAATAAGTTCTGCATTGAAGGAGAGGGAAACACAGACTAGTACCTACTCTCTCCAGAGAAAGTTGTGCTGTTTTTTGAGTTTATGTTTTAAGAATTTCTTGTATTTTTTTAATCCACATATTTCTAAGGAATACTCTTAAATCTTACCATTTGAGGGGAAAAAGCCTCATAGACTAGTTGTATAGAGTAGTACTCACATGTTTTGTTCATCTTTACTTTGAGTTTTTATTGGAACTTCTGTCCTAATAGGCAGTCATTTTAACTGACAGTTTCTTCCTTTACCCAGTTAGCTCTGCAGATAATACTAACAGCTAATGCTGTTTAACAGCTAATGCTGTTCTGTTTGGTGTGATCAGCCCTTACCATCGTCACAGAGCCAACAGCCTTACTGTTGGAGACACTTGGGGGTGGAGGTTGCGGGGAGGGGGCGGTGTAGCAAGAGCAGACAGGATCTCACACAGGCATTTTGGAAGGTGTCAATTGTTGCCCACTACTTGTCCTTTGAGCCCATTTTAAACCTGAACAGTGGTGTTCACAATGGAGAGAATGACCTGGGTTGTGGACATTAGAATGGGGTTTGACTAACACCTGGAAGTCAGTTAAGATGTGGAGACAGAAAACAGGCAAGTTACCTTAAAACTCTGTATACATAAAAATTTGCAATTTTTTGGCCCCTAGAGGAAAGTGTGATGCTACACAGGTGTTACTAACTGTCCATTGGGTAACCCAAACTCCAGAATGCTGGTAATTTGTATAAGCCAGCATTTTAGGGGGAAAAAATGTTTTTGCTATGGGGCCATTCAAGTTGCAGTTTTTGCATAAATGGCAGTGCATGACAAGCAGCCTGGATCAGAGACAGTCGAGGCCAGGAGCCTGGGAGAAGCTGCTAACAGAGGAACGGAAAGGCCAATAGCTGTAACTGAAAGATGCCCACATGCAGACAGCCCTTGGCTCATTGGAACTCTGGCCTGATGGCTAAGGGGCACAAAGTGCTGGAAACTGCCCTGAATCGCTGAATCCAGATAGTGCAATTTAGCAAATTGCGGACAAAGTGAAAACTCTTGGCTCATTGCAGTCCTCTTCCTTGTCCACTCTCCCTCCCAGACTGACTGAGGCTGCTCTGGAAACACCAGAGCTCTCGCAGGTTTGGGTTGGTTCTCCAGAGCTATGGACGAGCCAGGTCAGAATCAGGATCAGCCTGAGACGGAGAGGCTCTCAGACCGGGGGATGGCAAGGAGCCTCCTCTGCAGCCACAGCACCTTTTTAGGTCTGCACTTGAGTGTGGCATCACTAGCATCTTCTTAGTAGGTGAAGAACTAGAGTAGTGCACATTGCTTCAAAAATTATTGTATCCTGTGCAAAATCATGGTGGGGTGTATTCTTAAAGGTAGAGGAAATTATTTGATTGTCAACTTCTTCATTTGTGCTTTCAGAGCTAATTTAATTTATGAAATATGTGATTCATAAGAAAGTATGTGTATGGCCACTAGGATCGTTTATACTCTAAAGAGTTGAAGAGATTTTTTTTGGCATTTTTAGCAAATCTTGAAGGAACCCAAAATGGCTGCTTCAATTATGAATCCCTATGTAAAGCGTTCTATTAAAGTGAAAAGCCTAAATGACATGACCGCAAAAGAGAAGTTTTCTCCCCTCACGTCCAACCTGATCAGTAAGTATTGGATCTTTTTCACTGAAATCTGAAAACGTTGCTACTAGGAGTGTGGTCCGTGGACCAGGAGTGTCGGCATCACTGCCTTTCGGCAGTGAGGGCTCTCAGGCCCACCCCGGCCGGCTCAGTCCGAACCCGCGCCTTCCCTCGCTGTCCACGTGAACTGTTTGTGCATTAAAGTGTGAGGAGCACTGTCTAAAGATCCTAAGATGTAAGAAGGTCTGGTCCCATGGTCGGGAGTTTCCATCCATGGAGGTGACCAATGGGATTCATACCAAGAAAATGGTTTGTAGCCAGTGGCTGTCCCTCTGTCCTTGAAGACATTCGCATTCTTTGGTGCACTTGGATTGCTTTTCAAACCCCATGGTCAACTCAGAACACAAGTTCCAAAAAAAAGGTCTTCATGTCATCATTTTTTAATATAGCTCATGTGTTAATTTGGGAATTTGTAGCCTAACACTGGCATCTGTGACATAAAGATGAAAATCAGATTGCAAGCTGTGATCGAGCATCTTGCAGATCTGTGTGAGACACACCCCCTTACTAGTTTAATGCTTGTTGGCGCAGTCTTTTTAAAAAAAAACAACAAAAAAACATTGAATATACTTTTTAAATAACAAGTTGCATCTTCTCCTGAATATAGAAAATTAAGTTTTCTTTTGAGGTGAATATACTACCCCAGGGAGAACCCATTTTAAGTGAAACACCTTCATTTCCCAGATTTGCTTGCTGAAAATGGTCGCCTGAACAACACCCCTGGGGTCATTTCTGCCTTTTCTACCATCATGAGTGTGCATCGTGGGGAAGTACCTTGCTCAGTGACCACTGCTTCTGTAAGTAAAGGGTTGTGACTGCTGCACTGGCCTTGGCATGTTATGCATCCCGTTTTGCAGGGGGGGAAAACAGGCTAAAATGAAGAAATTGGGAAAGGGGTCTTGTCACTTGTCACTTGTCACTTTGTTCTTATACCAGCTTCTGGGAACTTCCACTCTGGAAGGGCCAGTGTGTATCTTATCAGTGCTTCCCTTACCAGTGATTTTTCATAAGCACTGTAGATTGGGTCAAAATGTGTTAGGAAATAGTGGTTTATGTTCCATTACAGCATCGAGTTATTTTGTAAAGACCATATTTTTTAATAGTTGACTGAAACTAGAGTTTCCAACCTTGGGTGGCAGTGAATGGGGAAGGGTAGGGCGGTAGGTCCTTTGATCTTGTTGACTTGCTGAAGTGGGTTATGATGATAGCCACCATTTGTTGAAACCTACTATGTGCTGGGTACTTTGTAATTTATTATTTAATATGAGAGGCCCATGTGAAGTATAATTATACTACAGATGAGGAAATATGCCCAGGGAAATTAAGTTGCTTGCCCTAGGACACAAAAGGTGAACCAGGATTTGAACAGAGGCCCCTCTCAGCAGTCCATGTTCATCAAGCTACACTCCCTCCCCGGAATTAATTTTCTTCTTAAACGTTTTCTTCCTACTATAGTTCTGTCAATTTAGGAAACCGGTCTGCGGGGCCCTAGGTATCAGCAGAGCAAGGTGGGTTTACTTGGGCTCTGCAGCACCTGACCTCATGGAGAGTGACATTTCTAGTTCAAAAAAGACACTACCCCTCTGGAAGAGCACAATTTGAAAGCGACATTTTAGCACGTACCTCACGGACAGTTCTCCCAGCTCAGGTGTTCACAGTGCCCACTGTGATGACAGCCCGGGCAGTCACACTGCCCTTAGCAAGTGCCAGTACAGGTCGTTCTTCAGTGATTACAAGGACGAGGTTTTTTAAAGGTTGATGATTTTTGTAAAAGCTTTTTAGAACCAATACTAATGCTTTTGATGTTGAAACTACTCGGTAAATGAGTTGCCACTGTTTAAAAAAAAAATTATACCTTTGATTGGTGGCTAAGGTCATAGACTTTAGAAATAGATTGATTTCAAATGTTGGCGCTAGTCCTCACTTGCTCGTGGGACCTTCGGTGGGTTTCTTAACCACTCTGAACCTCAGTTGTCCCATATGTAAAACGGGCATAATAACTGCTGGCCTCCCAGGGTTGTCCAGATTAAAGGAGAGGTGGGTGCAGAAGGCCTGGCATAGACAGGTGCCTGGCCCTCAGGGAGCGTCTAAATGGAAGGTGGGCAGGTAGAGTTCTCTAACCTCAGAGTCCCAGTAAATAATGTTTTGAGTGAACACCGACAGACTTTTACCACCCCTACTCTCCAAAAGATATTGTTAGATTTTTGCAAAGATGTAAAGGGTTTTTTGTTACCTTTGGACTCTTGGATGCGTGGGTAGGGAGGTAGAATTTGTGAGAGGTAAAAGGCCTTCAGCAGTCTTTCCATTGTCGCCTAACCAGGAGTAAGAGTTGGGGTTGGGGTTGGAGTAAGAGGAGTCTGGATGTTGGGGTGCTTGCTCAGTATGAACAGGTACAGAGCGGTGCAGACTTCAGGAGCCAGCCAGCTGCCCAAGCCCCCTCGGGGAGTTGTACTGAGTGGGGTGGCATGCCAGAGCTCCTGGTAACCATGGATCTTAAAGATCCTAGAACCCAGGTTAAACCGCAGCTTATCGTCCAAGGAAATAATGGGCTTAAGCGGTGCCCACAGGGGCTGCACAGAGCAGAGGCCTGCATCCGCGGGCATTATAAATGTCAGAACTGCTTCCCTCAACCATGTCTAAGCTCTGCCAGGACATGGAGCAGAGACGGGAGGGAGGGGTGTTGGTGGGCAGTAAGTGAGCCGCCAGGGTGCGCCCCCCAGGTGTCGTGTGAGGCCCTGATGAGTGACATGCAGTCACCCCGGTGGGTCTGCAGGTGTTTAACAGGACTTGGTGAGGCCTGTCTTGGTGGTGTGTGCCTGGGTATTTTTCCATTCCCTTTAAGATAGGAAGTTTCTGTTTTGCTTTATCTCAATTTAAAAGATGGTTTTGTCCCTGTTTTAGCCTTTAGATGATGCCACTCTTTCTGAATTAAAAACGGTGCTGAACAGCTTCCTGAGTAAAAATCAGATACTGAAATTGGAAGTTAAGGTAAGTTTTTAATTGTGTATGGTATGTTTCCTCAGCTTAATTTGACACTTAAAATGGCTATAAATAGTGAAAACTTAGTTCCGATTACCCACTAATTTACCTATGGTAGAAATTTTATATTCTTAGTTTAAATGATTACTGATTCCATTTACAATTTGACTTCTGCCTTTTTATAGATGTAATTATAATGTCTTAAGCTTATGTAGCCCATAGACTTTTCAAAGCACTTTTTCATCTTTCCATTGAATTAGTGAAATGTCAATGTGTTTTCATATATCCAACCTATTTTCTTTCCTAGACTGATCCGTCAATCATGGGTGGAATGATTGTCCGCATTGGAGAGAAATATGTTGATATGTCTGCAAAAACCAAGATTCAGAAGCTGAGCAGGGTTATGCGGGAGGTTTTCTGAAAGTTGGTTTTCCGTCAGGGAAAATTCTTAAACTTGGAGCAACAATAAAATGCTTCCTAAACAGAACATACTGTGTTTACTGCCTTTTAAAGTGGAAGTACAGAGAGCCTTATTTTTACTTAAAAAAGTCTTTCTTTCAGTATCCTCCTAGTTTAAAGACTAAAGGCCCTTTGGCTGGAGAATCTAATTTTTGTAGATTATTCTTAGAAATTTGTGAAAGCTTGTGTTTGTTCCGAAAAATTGTTAACATTTATTGAGGCCTCATTTTATGCCAGGGACTATTAAGTACTTAATGTATCTAACCTCATTTCCTTGGCCTCTATACCCAGAGTCTGGGGAGGGGCTGACATGCAGGGGGAGTTAAGGTACCAGCGAACCTGGCCCGCTGTTGTCCTCTTAGAGTTTCAACTGTCGGCGCCCATCTCTAGTCAGAGATACTGGAAGTGGTTCTCTGAGCCCCAGAACCCGTGCTGGTCAGACATCGGCAGCTGCTCCACGCCCGCAGCTTCGTGCTGCCGACTGCCACCATGCCTGGGCCAACCCCAATGGCCGTACTCTACGGTCCGGGGTCAGCCAGGTGTATTGGGTCTGCTTAAAGTGCTGAAGACGGCTGGTGTTTGCTCATCTGATTATTCTAACAGGTTCTTCCGTCACGTGCTTTTTTACTTGTTTTGAGCCCAAAGTGATTTGTCTTACAATCCAGCCCTCCATATTATCCTATTAAGAATAAAGGCAGTAATGTTTTTTATAAATGCTTTCAGAGAGATTCTGGCCAAAAAAGATGTCTCCTTTCTAGAGTCTAGAAAGTAAAAGCAGTTATTGTGCTAACAGACATCCATCCCCTCAGCCCCCCTGAGGGCAGAGGCCCAGGTCCGAGCCGCGCACTCAGCAAGGGGAGGCGGCACAGCCGCAGGCTGCTCACCAGCTGCCGCAGCCCCCGTGAGTGTCTTCTGACCCAGAGAGCGGCCGGGAAGGAATGTCAGCCCAGAACAAAATCAGGATTTTCTCCCCCACTGGGAGCAGCTATTCCAGGGGGAGGTGCCCTGATTGCTAGAAGTCACTGCCCTTTGGCTGAAGTGCCCGTTGATCCCACCAATTAAGGCCTTTTCCAGCAGCCAGCAGGCTGGGGCAACAGATGGGCGTATAGCAGGAGCCAAACACAGGAAGGAACCTTTTTGCTTCTCTGATAATTACAGTTACCCTGAAATTGCCTAAAAGGTTCCTCAGACTTACCTGGCACACACATGGCCACTGCACTGCAGCTTATAAAATCTATATCCCGACTGGACTAGAACCTTCACGGCCACAGTGAATGTCACTTCACTTGGATAGTAACCTCCCAGATTAGTGACCTACTGGAGAGAAAGAACCACTCTACAAAATTCATTCAACAAGCTTAGAGTACCTATTACAAGCCAGGCACTGCAATTTTCACTGTCTTCACCACCAGAAAGCTCCATCCGTAGGAGGATGTGTGACATGCCATCTGCAGGTAGTCTCCTGATGTAGATTTTGGCAGCTCTGCGCTCTGCTGGGACAGTTAAGCGTGGTGGTTAACGCATCTTAGAGCCATCCAGAGGGTGCACGTGCAAGCCCCTACTCCTCCAGCCTGCGAAGCATCCCAACCCCAAGCCTGGGTTTCATTCCCTGTAAGTGGAAGCAACAATGCCCAGAGTAGCTGTGAGTGAAGCAAGATTCCGAAGAGCCTAGTACAGGGCCTCGCAGATGTAAAGCTGTCTACATGGTATTGGCTACTGGCTCGATGACCTCGAACTTCTCTGGGCCATCTGACCCCAAAGACTGAATGATTAAACACAGCAGCTGACACGAAAACAGAGTCCATCTGTGTAGCCTGCTTGCCAAAATCGCTTGCCTTCCGGGGCTTGTTCAGAACTGGCCCCTAGTAGGTCATTAGGACGACTCCTCCATCAGCCCCCCGGGAAAACTTTCCTAGTAAAATGCCCTTCCTGATGTGACACCTAATCGTAGGATGCTCTGCAGCTTTCAAGGCCTGTTCATGTGTATCTTACTGCAGCATCATAACAACCTTGTGATACAGGTGGGGCAGACATCACCCACTTCACAAGTGGAAGAGGGTGAGGGCCCCTCGGGATTTACTCAGGATCACATGCTTGGACAGCAGGTGGGTCAGTCCCAGAACCCCGGTCTTTCCCCATTTTGTGCTTTTTCCCCCATGTCACTGACCACGCCCTGGCACGTGATCTCCCCATCACTGGAGCCAACTAAAATTAAGCAAACTAATGTTAGGTGAGTCGCTGTGCCTCTTCTCACTTTGTCCCCAAGATCTTCCCAATTCACCAATTCACCCATTAACTCAGGTCAGCTCTTCCCTACGTTTGCCCTCCTTTAGGCCTTTAGAGGAAATAGAGTTCCCCAGGCAACATCGCAGCGCGTATTCCTTGATCACCCTTCAAGTGTTTGGGCAGCAAATTGATTCCCTTCCCAGAGCTAACCCTGGGTGGGCAGAGGCAGGACGACTGCAGCTGAGAAGTCCTGCAGGACAATGAGTGACCCAGGGCTACTCACTGCGCCCTAGTGCTGGGACCAGTGTGCTCCCCATCTGGCATGGCATTGCCCTTCTGGTTGGCACGCTTGTCTGAAAATACTGGCTTTCTCCTGGCAAACCAGCTACATAGTCACCTAACATGACAACTGACAGAGACACCACTTAGGGGCCTCTTGGTACTTTTCCCAAGAGCCAGGAGTGCCCAGACTGTTGCTTGGCCCCAGTATCCACTCACCTAACTTTTAGCTGAGCATGGGACCACCCAGCTACAGAATGCATGTACCAGCCTCCCTTGCAGTACCTGACCGTGGACCAAAGTGCCAGCAGACGGGAGAAGAGAGGAAACGGTGCGTAGGCCTTCCTGAATGGACCTCACAAGGAGCAGGTGAACAGTCCTCTCCGTCGGTCCCCTCTCCCTCTGGCTGGATGCAAGCGAGATGGTGGGAGCCGGAGCAGCCACACTCCTAGGTAAAACCAAGCGACCCAAGGGCACAGCCACTGTCAGGCCTGACCGCAGACCTCTGGGCTGTTAATATGAGGGAGAAATAAACCCCTTTCGACGAAGCCATGGGATGCTGGGTCTGTACGTCTTGGCAGCTGAGTCTATAACCTAACCAACACTCTGGGTTCCCCAAGACTCATCTGCCTTCTTCCCATCTCGCCTCCTGACTTCAGTGAGGCCAACGCTGCGCTCAACCAGGCATCACACACTGTAAATCCCAGTGACACCACCAGCTTCTAAGACACGTGTCAGCTGATGGACCAGTTATCTTTGGGGGAACCTTTTGCTGTAATACTTACTGCCCAAATCCTCCAGAATCAAACTCAACAAGCTTCCTGTTGATTAAGCACATATAATAATGGGGAGAAATGATAAAATGCTTCAAAAAGCACCTTACGTGGTCATCAGAGATTAACCCAGAAATCTATGTATGATAATATTCTTCACAGCACTTTTGTACCAGTGTGAAATTTTAAAGCAATCAAAACATGTAACCATTGAGGATTGTTTAGGTAAATTAGGGTGAACTAGGATACATTCAGACAATGGGATACTATGCAGTCTTTAAAAATCAAGCTGTGGGAAAATTAGATATAGATGATCTAGATTAGAGAGAAAGGTATTTAAAATAAAGCAATCAAAATATGTGAAATGATTTATATAAATTATATAATTGAACAGTGCCTTCATATGGAAGTGCTCAATGAATATTAACTATTAAGTAGTACAATAGCATCCAAACTGTACGCGCATGTGCACACACACACACACACACAAATGCACAGAAAAATTACAGGAATGACATTCATCAAAATGTTAACATTTATTTTTGTGTGGAAGAATATCTCCATTAAGTGATTTTTATTTCCTTTGTATTTTTCTGTGCTTACTGAATTTTCTGTATTAACAAGTATTGCTTCTGTAAATAGAAGGAAAACAATAAATGTTCTAGAATAAAATATTGCCTCGATTATGCTGGCTATTAAATTTGCTTAAATATAATAGGTATTATTCAACAGGCTTTATACCAGTGACTGCTTCCACCCACCACACTGTGCCAGGGGCACCTCGTCTATCTCAGAGAAAACTAGGCGTAATTTGGGAAAGCACTGTTTTGAATGACATTTAATTTATTTTTAAAACTTAAAAAAGAAAACAACCATGAAAAGGGCATAAGATTTTTAATGTTTATCAAAAATAGGGCATACTGGTTGAGAAAAGGCAAAGATATGCTGATTTAGGGTCAATTTTTTTTAATACAATTCAACTAGTGTCCAAGCCAACCAGAGAATTTCAAGGACTTGGTTGTATTTAGATAAATCGGTGATGAAATAAAGAGGAATTACCTTAAACCCAGAACAGAAGAGAATGCTATATAAATTGTCCACAAAAACTGAGGTAACAATAATACTCAGTGTTGGGTTTGCTGATGGTGCCCAGAGTTAAAAGCCAAGGCTCTAAACTTGTGGAGTTGTTTGTGTTGGAATTTCCTTCGTGGAAAGCCAGAATAACCCTTCTGAATGTCTTTGTAAGACAATCCTAGCTTTCTGCTTTCCCCTCACTGCCCCTGGCACAACACAGAACTTCTCAAATTCTCAGAAGTACTTGGAACAGGTGCTAACGTTTGTCTGAAGGAGGCACAGCAGAGTTGAAAGGGTTGTTGGTTTAGTTTGGTTGGTTTTTTAAGTTTATTTTTGCATAATTTTCCTTCCACAACTACAGCCTTATCTGTGGGAGAAGGAAACACACAGGAAGAGATGCCATTTGCAGGGCTGTTGGTTTCCTGTCGGCTCCGAAAGGGGGTGGGGCAGAAAGAACCCAAAATAATCCACTGTAACAGGGTTGGATTCTTTCATTTTATTCATGAGCTATGTGAATTTAAACCGCACGGGTCAAAATGACCGAAGAGTTGTTTGGAAGAGATTGTTCTTTTTAGTTTAAGATATACAGGAATAGCAGTCTGAACTGATGTCACTACTGGTTTAAAAAAAAGACAAAAAAGAAAATAAAAAACCACAGTTACCATAATCTGAATTG